TGGATGAAGATGTTTTACACTTCGGCAGACACAGAAATACATCACATCAGAGGGATTAAGACTGTAGAAGAGGTCTTAAAGCGTGTTAAACTCCAGGAAAAGAACCCCACCACCATTCTTTCTCGTGAGAATGATTTCTTTGATAATATCCTAGAAAAAGACCCGATACTGTGTGCTTTACAACAAGAGGTACCATCCGACACAACCTTGTTTGCTGAAATGGTGAAAGTTTGTTTAGGGGCAATCGTGATAGTGCTAGAGAGACAATATGAGAAGTATTTTAACCTCGACATCACAGACGAATTGGAGAAGCAAACAGAGTCGGCCAGGTCGCACAATATAGATGCAGAGGAGGTAATGGGGATGTTTTCGGCAGCAAAACAGAAAGCTCAGAATGCGACTCTGTGTTTCCTCTCATCCAAAATCAGGGCGCAGAAAAACCGTGTAATTGATTTTCTAGACAACATGGGTGGTGATAAAAGAGAGAAGGTTGTTCAGTTTGCGGTGACGTATTCGAGAAAACAGAGAGAAAGAAAGAAAACTAAGCAGAAGGATGTGATGGTGGAAATAAAAAGAAGAAATGCCTTACAACAAGAGAAAAAAAACATGACAGAACTAAGAAAAATGGAAAAGAAATTAAAAACCACTGATACAGATCCAATTTCTCTGGCTGAAGCATTTCCTGGCACTGATAAAGGGATTCTGGATGATTTGGGGGATATATTGGAGGGTAAAGTCGTTGGCAAAGACCTTTGTCACTACTGGTTTGACACAGACAAGGGCGTTAAAGAACTGTATTATGGAAGAATAGAGAAACTCCGGAAGAATGGCATCGTTTATCGTGTGTGTTACTGGGCTGAGGGGGAGACTTTCGATGATGGAGAGTCGTACGACATTTCGAAATATTCCCTTGCTTCTGATCTAATCTTAAGTGACTTGATTTTGTGTTAAGACTAGACAACAGACTCATCTGAGTACTAAATTTCATCTTATTATATGGTACGACTGGTGATATTTATCTGTAACTGTGCATGTATTAGTGTTTTTGAACAGCTATCTTTTAGTAGAAATTTCAATGAAAAAGACCAAGTATTAAGGAAGTTATGACATTTCGAAATATTCCCTTGCTTCTGATCTAATCTTAAGTGACTTGATTTTGTGTTAAGACTAGACAACAGACTCATCTGAGTGCTAAATTTCATCTTATTATATGGTACGACTGGTGATATTTATCTGTAACTGTGCATGTATCAGTGTTTTTGAACAGCTATCTTTTAGTGGAAATTTCAATGAAAAAGACCAAGGAAGTTATGAGCATTTTTATGACCTGGTTAAGACTGGATAACGGACTCATCTGAGTGCTAAATTTCATCTTATTATATGGTACGACTGGTGATATTTATCTGTAACTGTGCATGTATTTGTGTTTTTGAACAGCTATCTTTTAGTAGAAATTTCAATGAAAAAGACCAAGTATTAAGGAAGTTATGAGCATTTTTATGATTTGGTTAAGACTAGACTACGGACTCATCTGTGTGTAGGAATTCATCTTATTATATGGTATGACTGGTGATATTTATCTGTAATTAAGAGATTAACTGTGCATGTATTAGTGGTTTTGAACAGCTATCTTTTAGTGAAAATTTCAATTAAAAAGACCAAATATTAAGGAAGTTATGAGCATTTTTGTGATTTGGTCAGTCGTCAATTAATCTCCACGAATTGGCGAATTGATTCATTAATTGGCGAATTGATTCATTAATTGATAATTAATTAATAATTGATCAAATTAATCAATCAATTAATTAATGTAATTGTATTGTGGTTTCAAATAGCTCTCCAACGATGCAAAAGTCATTGATATCTGTTGACTTTTGGGGGAACTGTGATGTTTTAAAGTGCGTACTTATTATTTTCACCCGAAAAGTGATCACGCTCAAGTCTTTGTATTCTAATTAAAACAAAGGGTCAATATTGACCCGATTTTCTATTTTTCAAAATGATGTAACTTTTTTTCTATTTGGAGTAGAACCAAAATTTAAAGACCATAGTAATGCATATTCAAGGCCCTTTCCAATGATGCCAGTTTTATTAAATTTGCAAAATTTTCATTTTTTTAGTCACATACCTTTTGATCCAATGACGCTACGTCATTGCTTTGACCGTTATTCTATCTCTATTTCCGGTACAGAAAAGATGGGTGTATATAGATTTCAGACGAGGACCCTTCAACACGAAAAACTCATTAACGTGGAATCCATGTGTACTGATTTTATCTGATTTGTTTTAATCATACAAATATTTCCTCTTCTTTCAGCAGCCTATACTGAAGATAAAACTATATCCTCTAAAAATGAAAAATTATCTTGGTCAGCCGCAATCAATAATTTAACTTCGAAACTCCAAATAAATCATGTTCATTTGCTAAATAAAGAAAATATAAAGAAATCCCTCGAATCAAAATTTAACTCCTTCTAACTCCAATAATAGCAAATTACGTACATATTTCATCTCAAAACCTACTGTTACCAACTCTCCAGACTGTTTATATTCGGTTAAAAATAGAGATCATAAGAAAGCTATGACCACACTTAGACTCAGTACGCATCACTTAGAAATAGAGAGGGGTCGATACAAAAAAATTCCTGTTGATCAGCGTCTATGCAAATTTTGCGATTTAAATTCGATCGAAAACGAGCAACATTTTTTGCTATACTGTAGCAAGTATGAAGAAATACGCCAAGCCCATTTATACCCAGCCTTCTCGGCAAATCCTAAGATTTCCTACAATTTTATTAATCTCTTTACACCACCAAAATTGATTGCCAAGGCAGTGGCTTTATGTGTTTTTGGCTTTTGATAAGAGAGCTAAATCAAATATGGTGGCAACTACATGTAACTGAAACCCCTTCCATTCACTTGATTTGTGATATTTGTTTATTTGGTGCAATGTCTATTTTCTGTCTTGTCCGCAGGTTTATCTTGTAGATTTTTGTTTTGCATGTAGTGCGGTCCTCCTGCACTTACTATTTGATATACATGTACAGTTGTACATGTAGTATACTGTTTGTATGAATGTATTGAGTTGTCTATGTAATATGTATTATTGAATGTATATGACTATGTCTAAGTGTATATGTATGCATGCTGTCCTTCATGGACGTTTTGATGCAATAAACATCTATCTATCTATCTATCTACTAAAAACGTGTCTACAGGAGGTGATAATTGTTGACATGCAAATGAATGTCTAATTTCATCCCTTCAGCATCTTTTATACCCGTATTGGCTGAACAGTGGCCCTGCCATAGGAGGACGTTTACTAATCTCGAATAAATTTCAAGCATGCATGCACTTTAGAACATCAGATCTGATCTATCATTGGTCAAGTGATGTGGTTTCGAGATTCCCAACTTGTATGTGACAAGCAGCAGGGTCCCCTGTCCAACCTCATAGGTTTTCTCCAATTTCCTTTCACTGCTAAAACATTTGCAAGTGAATCATTGAAATAAAAACATATCTTAGTCCCTAAATAACCTAGTCTGTGTTGAGTGAATGGAATATGGATGAATGTCATGTATGTCATAACAGTCATATGACTAGATCTATTTGATAAGGCCAACTGCATATTTTTTCAAGGTCACAAGATACTGCATATTTCTTCAAGGTCACAAGATTGTGGGTTAGGTTTAGGGTAAAAAGTCTTGGGTTGGGGTCAGCTCCAGCACATCTTGAGGAAATTGCAGTTTCGGAGGTATGGAGTTCGATATTGGTCTTGGCCGAGAATGTTGACAAGAGATTTTCCAACTTTGTTTCCCCATGTCTGTGGTGAAGGATGGTGGAAATCGCAAGGAACAATGTCTTGTCTGTGGTGAAGTATGGTAGATCTCGCAAGGAACAATATCTTGTTTGTGATGAAGGATGTTGGGCCTGGCAAGGAACAGTGTCTTGTCTGTCGTGAAGGATGTTGGGCCTGCCAAGGAACAGTGTCCTGTCTGTCGTGAAGGATGGTGGACCTCGCAAGGAACAGGGTGTTGTTGTCAATGTAAGAGTGCACTTAAAAGAAACCCTAGACATTTTGAATTCCATTGCTTTACAGAGAGAGAGAGAGAGAGAGAGAGAGAGGATGAGCTTGAAGTCCACTCAACATATAGGTCACTTCGGGACTAACACATGGTTCAATTTTTATTTCAATAATTTGCTTGAGCATAGGGGTCTTTAGCAGTGAGAGTGCAAAAGAGAAAACCCACAATGTTGGACAGGAAACTCAACTCCTTGTCACCTACAACCAGGGAATTGAAACCAGGCTAGTTGACTTAATGACAGACCTTATGATACATTGCGACCACGCTAACCATTCAGCTATCCCCCTTCCCCCTCTGTATAGTAAGTGCAGGGGAACTGCAACACACACAATATTCAGAAAATATCAAACAAAGACACATATCAGATTAAGTGAATGAAGCCGGGGGGCTATGTTATAGTGAGAAACATTTTAAACGTTCGGAAGAAATGAGGTGTCTGATTACTTGCCCGGGCAACGGCGCTACAGCCTACTTATATATCAAATTCCAACTGCCAAGGGATCTTTTATGTGCACGCCAATATGTACACGGGATCTCGGTTTTTCCGTCCCATCCAAACAACTAGACAGCTGTCTTTGTCAGGCCCTCCGTCCTGCATCACTGACAAGGGAGGACAACGCCGGAAAATCTTGATGTACTTTCTCAGCCAATGCAGGGATCGAACACCCAGCCTCCAGGCTAGCGAGCCAGCGTATTACCCACTTAGCCAATGTGATCCCATGAAGCAAACAGAGGAAGTGCAACATGTCTCGAAGACAGTTGTCTGCTAAATGACATGGCGTAAAAGACGGTATTTTGCCAAATGACACCATAAGTTAAATGTAATAAAAAAAACAACAAAAAAAAGGTTGACAATCCAGATAAGACAATGTTCGACTTCCATTCATAAATTAGACATGAAATGGATAATCAAGACTATGTTTTTTATTGTACTGACTTTAGTAATGATGATCGAGACTAGGCCGAAAATTCAATCACTAAAATCTCGGTTGACTGAAATTTTTAGCAAATTTCCTTTACATTATCTAGTTTTTAATTATTATAGTGAGAACTGCCAGCTCTTTATCTAATCTCCCATAATGTATCTTTAACACGTGTCTTTGTTCACCAGAAAGATTTATCATGTGTATTTTTTATGTCTGAGAAAATGATTTACAACGAATAAAACTTGTCTCTGGAATGAATTCTCATGTGTGTTTGGAGATTACATTCTGCAAAGTATGATTTACTACAAACATCGCATTTAAAAAGTTTTTCTCCGTTATAGATTGTCATGTGACTCTGTAGACCACAACTCTGTATATTTCCTTCAGTATGAATTGTCATGTGACTCTGTAGACCACAACTCTGTATATTTCCGTTTTCTTCTGTATGGATTCTCATATGCATCTGCAGATTAAATTTCCTACCAAATGACTTACTACAAACATCACATTTATAAGGCTTCTCTCCCATATGAACTGTCGTGTGTGTTTGGAGCCGAGATTCTGTAAAAAATGATTTACTACAAACATCGCATTTATACGGTTTCTCACTGGTATGGATTCTCGTGTGATTCCGTAGAATAGTTTTCCTACTAAATGATTTACTACAAACATAACATTTATGAAGTTTTTCGCCTGTATGGGTCTTTTTATGTCTCTGTAGAGACCCACATTCAGTGAATGTTTTACCACAAACATCACACTTATAAGGCTTGTCACCAGTATGAATTCTCTTGTGTCTATGAAGCGTACAATGCAAAGCAAATGATTTGCTACAAACGTCGCATTTATAGCTTTTAACTCCCGTGTGAACTAACATATGCCTTCGAAGTGAACAGGAGTCAACAATTGATTTACCACAAACATGACATTTACAAAGCTTTTCTCCCGTATGACTTCTCTTGTGGCTTTGGAGATTACGATTCTGAGTGAATGATTTACCACAAACATCACATTTATATCGTTTTTCACCAGTATGAATTCTCCTGTGTTTCCTTAGATAACCGTTTAAAGTGAATGATTTATCACAAACATCACATTCAAAAGTTGTTTTGCCCCCATGAATTTTGGTAGATCTTTTATCCTGTTTTGAAGGATTACCATGTTGCAAACCAGAATCCTCATATTTAACGTGTATCTCACAGTGTTTTTCTAAATCAGTGCCAGATTTAAATTCTTCATCACATAAATTACACTGATAAACAGTTTCAATATCATCAGTTTTCTCTTCTTTAACATGAGAATATCCGTCTACGTCATCAGTTTTCTCTTCTTTAACATGTATTTTGTTGTGTTTTTCTAAATCCTCAAGTTGTTGGAAAATAGTATCACATATAACACACTGATGGAAAGTTAAAACATCATTAGTTTCCTGTAATATATAAAAGTTATATCATCATTAGTTTCCTGTAATATATAAAAGTTATAACATCATTAGTTTCCTGTAATATATAAAAGTTATATCATCATTAGTATCCTGTAATATATAAAAGTTATAATAACATCATTAGTTTCACGTAATATATAAAAATTATAACATCATTAGTATCCTGTAACATATAAAAGTAATAATATCATTTGTTTCCTGTAATATATAAAAGTTATAACATCATTAGTTTCCTGTAATATATAAAAGTTATAACATCATTAGTTTCCTGTAATATATAAAAGTTATAACATCTTTTGCTGTCTGTAATATATAATTATAAAATTCATTACATCAGTTTAAAACCTAAATTTTGGTACCATACTAGTTCAAACTTGACACAATATTGAAAAGTAATTAGGCATTATTAAATTTCTTTTTTCGATATACCCATGTTTTAAAGTTGGGATGAGTAGTCTTTTATATTGGGATGAATTGTCTTTTATATTGGGATGAGTTGTCTTTTATATTGGGATGAGATGTCTTATATTGGGATGAGTTGTCTTAGGATGAGTTGTATTTGGGATGAGTTGTCTGTATACCCACGCCACTGTATACCCATAAAAACATTTGATGATAACAAATTTCTATCAACTCACCATTATTGTGTTAGCAACGGTTATTATTTATTTATAGTTATTCAGATTGGATGACGATTCTTGGAACTGTTCCGATCATACGAGCACCAAACAACCATCGATTACACCGACGACAGCATTGACACGGGTTTCGGTCTGATTTTTCAGCCTTTGACATCTCCATTTCCGGTACAGCAGAGATGGTTGTATATAGATTTCAGACGAGGACCCTTCAACACGAAAAACTCATTAACGTGGAATCCATGTGTACTATCAGATTAGTTTTACTCATGATTAAAAACGTGTCTACAGGGGTTAATAACTTTTGATATGCAAATGAATGTCTAATTTCATCCCTTCAGCATCTTTTATTCCTGTACTGGCTGAACAGTGGTCCTGCCATAGGAGGATGTTTATAAATGAACATCTTTTTTTCTTACCTACACTGGACGATTCCAATACCAACACAATCTGAATAAATTTCAGACATTAATGCACTTTAAAATATAAGATCTATCGTGGGTTTTCTCCAATTTCCTTGCTACCAAAAGCCTGTGTCTATGTACTTTTACTACAAGATCAAAACAGCTATGACCAAATCTGCTTATAATTAAAAATGAATTGTGTTCAATCAGTTCATTGTGTGCTAAGGAAGACCTATTTTTAGAAAAAGATTCTTTAATGGGGGTGGAGTGGCAGGTCTCAAGTAGGGTGTGCTCTTTAGATCATAAGGCCCATCATTGAATCAAGTGGCATGGTTTCGATTCCAAGCTTGTACTTGACAAAGAGTATGATCGTCCGGGGGCCTCCCACTGCTGAAGACTCACATACCCATGCGAATTATTGAAATAAATATTGTACCATATGTTAGTCCCAACATACTCTCTCTCCTCTCCTTCTCTCTCTGGTTAGGGTTGGGATTAGCCCTAACCCTGTTTACATCTGATGACCTTTGACCAAACTTGCAGTTGGCCTTATCAAATGTATTTAAACCTGGGGACCATTGTCAATATTTGCCCATGCGTAACCAGGAGTTTGGTTTTTTAATGTGGTTGATTATCCAGTATCTTTGTCCAAGTCAAGTAAGAATTGAGCCCCTTCAAAATAAGAGAAGGCAGTAGCGCCACTTTATGGACAAAATTTCCCTCATAGCACATTACATGGCGGAAGCACACTGTTTTATTAGGGGCAAGTGAATGGCTGAATGGTTAGCGTGTGCGCATTGAATAATAAGATCTGTCATTGAGTCAACTGGCGTGGTTTCGATTCCTTGGTTGTACGTGACAAGGAGTAGGGTTGTTTGTCCAACCAGTTTATATGCATCTATGCAAAGTCTGCGATTTTACTCGGACCAAAGACCAGTCTGTATGGGAGACCCAAGTGATAGACCACTCACGCAAAAGATCCCCTGGCAGTTGGAATCTTATATAAGAGTAGGCTGTGGCAAAATTTCCCTCATAGCACACTGTATGGTGTATGCCCATCTTCATTAGTCCAATTCATAGCAGAACAGTAGGACGTTAAACCCCATTTCATTTTCTCAACCTAACACAAGTGGGTGTATGAGTGGGGGTGGATGGGTGGGTGGGTGGATGGTCGAATGGTGAGAGAGAGAGAGAGAGAGAGAGAGAGAAATGGGGTTTAACGTCCACTCGACACAAACTAGGTCATTTCGGGACTAACATATGGTTTAATTTTATTTCAATAATTCGCTTGCGCGTAGGGGTCTTTAGCAGTGGGAGGAAACCGGAGGACCCGGAGAAAACCCACGAGGTTGGACAGGTGACCCTACTCCTTGTCACGTACAACCGGGGATTCGAAACCACGCCAGTCGACTCAATGACAGACTTTATGATACAGCGCGCGCACGCTAACCATTCAGCCATCCTGGTCGAATGGTTAGCGCATCATTGAGTCAACTAGAAGTCTTGGTGTATGAAGGGGAGGGGGGGGTATGACTGAATGGTTAGCACGCGCGCGCTGTAAAGTCAAGTGGCATGGTTTCGATTCCCGGTTTTACTTGGTAAGGAGTAGGGTCGCCTGTCCAATCTCGTGGATTTTCTCCGGGCCCTCTGGTTTCCTCCCACTGCTAAAGACCCCTACACGCAAGCAAATTATTGAAATAAAAATTGAACCATATGTTAGTCCCGAAATGACCTAGTTTTAGTTAGCATTGAGTGGACGTTAAAAATCACTTTTTCTTTCTCTCTCCATACAAAAAGACTACTCGAAAACAAACAAAAAGACCACTTGGACCAATAATAAAATGTTGTTTTAATAAATTAATAATTGTGTTTGTTTTAATATGACTACTCAGACTAATAGATTACTTTACAATCCCCGAACTTATAGCTACGTTATCTGCAGACACGTGAACAGTAGCGACCAATCAGAGGTTGTGACATAGCGACCTCCACGGAAACTTTGACATTGAACGAACTTTGCAACTCGATTATCACAGGTAGATATTTTAGCTGGAAAGTGCGAGACTTCGTATTCGCGATGATCGAGGAATCTGATAGGCTCCCAAGCAGGGTGAATACCCAAATGAAATTAGCGTCGAGATATGCAGGGTATTACGTGAAGGACTTAGATGTACAGAGTTAAAGTGAGATCAAGCCTTCTATAGAAGATGGAATATGTCATACTTTTATTGGAAAAAAACTAGCCTATGAATACATTTGCAGTAAATGAAATGGGGTTAACGTCCTACTGTTGTAAATCTTACATAATGTATCTTTAATTAATAAATATTATTTATTTTTGAGCTATTATAGCAAGAACTGTCAACTCTTTATCTAAATATTACATACAGTATCATTAATAAAGATCTCTTTTTCTTATATGTATCATAGTCATTGAGAAATAAATAAACCAAACAAAATTACTAGGGTTTTATTCTTAAAGCACAATGTTTTTTTGGGGTTTATTTTAGGAGACATGGTGGCTAAGTGGGTAAGACTCTGGCTCACTACACTGAAAAAAAACTTGTGTTGAAAGAACACAAACTTGTGTTAAATTCAACACAAGTTAGGTGTCTCTATTTAACAACACAAACTTGTGTTAAAACAACACAAAACTTGTGTTAAATGTTGAAACAACACAAAACTTGTGTTAATATGTATCAAACAACACAAAACTTGTGTTGAAACTTGTGTGAAATCTACACAATACTTGTGTTGAAACTTGTGTTGAAATTTCTGAAACTTGTGTTGAAATTTCTGAAACTTGTGTTAAAATTTCTGAAACTTGTGTTGAAATTTCTGAAACTTGTGTGGTTTCATACAAACTTGTGTATAACCATCATCAAAAACTTGTTTTGTATTTTTCCCCAATTTATATCCAGCATAGCAACCTTTCTATGCAGGACCCCTCTCTTTGCTCTGTTAGACCTGTAAAGTTTGATAAAAGAAGGAAACAAAAAAAAATTTTGTAAGATTATTATTTATTCATAAAATCATAGGAAAAAGTAAATTAATACATCAAAACTAAATAGATATTTGAAATGTTAACAGAAAAACAGAGACTTCAATTCTAATACAAATTATATTGTGTTATATATAATGACCCCTCCCCCCCCCCCCACTTTACCCATCACAAAATATAAAATAGCTATTTAAATTGTTTTTTGCCCCACACACTTTACCCATCACAAAATATAAAATAGCTATTTAAATTGTTCTTTACCCCAAAACAAGAACTGAGAATATAAAGATATGTACACAGTATCCCTACCCCATACCCCAAAATATATAATTCAAATATATCTAAATTTAATAACATCCAAACTAAGCACTAATAAGATTAATTATGCACTAAATTGAAACAATTTCAAAAACTGAAAAATGCTACAAAATCACACTACAAGTGATTTGTGAGGCATCTAGAAATAACTAGCATACACAGAAAACTAACAAAAGAAAATTGCTCTATTTTGCAGGAGTAATAAAATGATGTAGAGCCTTTTCCTCATTAAAAAAAACCCAAACAAAATGAATATTTTATAAATAAAAGAAGCAAAGCATCAAGATTACAGGATTGAAATAAAAAAATATCATATGTACAAAAGATTTATATACAATCACAAGTCATAAGCCACAGTGGTTCAGTGAGCATAAGGCGTTGGCCGCGAAATTTCAACTGGATTTTCCGACATAGTTCCCACTTTTCAGTGTTGGATATGGCAAGGGATAATTGGGTACAAGCCCAGAATCAAAAGAGAGAGAGACAGAGAGAAATGGGGTTTAACGTCTACTCGACACAAACTAGATCATTTTGGGACTAACATATGGTTTAATTTTATTTCAATAATTCGCTAGCGCGTAGGGGTCTTTAGCAGTGGGAGGAAACCGGAGGTCCCGGAGAAAACCCACAAGATTGGACAGGCGACCCCACTCCTTGTCTACAACCGGGGATTCGAAACCATGCCAGTTGACTCAATGACAGGAGGCCGTATGATACAGCATGCACGTGCTAACCATTCGGCCATCCACCCCCACCCCCCAGAATTGAAACCAACCCAACTGCGTACACTTTGAAGAACCCTTGAAAATTGAATTATTTGAATCAATGACAGACCTTCTGATCAAATGTGTGCGTGTTAACCATTCGGCCCCCCTGGGTACCCTTTAAAGAACCCTTGACAGTTGAAATATTTGATATAAGGGTAGGGTAGAATCACTCTAAGAACACAGAAAAGCAGGATATTAAAACTATTTCATTTCATAAGCAAGGGAAAGTCACCTTAATGTAGGTCAAGGTTTTTTGTAATTCTGGGTGTATTTGATCTACATTTGGTTTCTAGTAATGCCTATTAAATACTTTATGATTTCCGACCAAATTCTAAGTGATTTATATGTCAGTTTACTTGCTATATTATACATACATATTTGAAGAGAATTAAAATCTAATTGTGTTTTGGAAGAAAATTTAACATTAATAACAAAAAATAAATATTTAAAAATTGGGTCAAATGCATTCTTTCCCAGAAGTATAAAATAAATTGATGCTTGGGTTCTCTTGTTGTTATCATACACCAAATACTCTTGCAAGGGTGTTCCAGCCTAAAAAATAAAAAGTAGGCAATAAGAATACAATGTTTAAATAAACAATTTATTTTGCCACATCGAGACTGAGTCTCTATTTGGTTTCAACTTTGCGTAACGCTTATTGTGTCTTGTCCACTTAAAGACCCAGGCAGATTATTATGCTCAAATCAAATGGGTTAAAAGTCAGAAAAATGAAATGAAATGGGGTTTA